CGACACGAAGGCCGACAATCACAACGGCACGAAGGCCGACAATCCCAACGACACGAAGGCCGACAATCACAATGGCACGAAGGCCGACAATCCCAACGACACGAAGGCCGAAAATCACAACGGCAAGAAGGCCGACAATCCCAACGACACGAACGCATTAAACTTTCATACTCACAGGAGTGAAGTGTCGAACCGGAGCTGGAGCTGGCAACTGCACTTGGACACCCGATGCTTGCTCGATGGTTTGCATGATCTGATACATGTCCGCCATCTGCTTCTTCGTGGTCTCCAGCTCTGCGGTCAGGTGCGCTTGCGTCTCCCTTGTCTCTGTCAGTTCGGCCTGTAGTGTTTCAATCACATATTTCAGTATTGCAAATCTGATCAATGTGTGTAACGTTCAATGTACGACGAGTGAAACCGGAATTACCTGAAGTTCATCGACCCGCGACAGTGTTGGAGTAGGCCGTGCACGTATGGGAAGGCTTCTGGCCATGCTCTGTGCCCTCACGTCGGAGAAAGAGGGTGCAGAGCTCGAGGAGTCGGCGCCGTCTGCAATCCACAACCGCCCGTGCTTCCTGCCTTGCCCCAGCCTCACGATCACCTCTGTCTCAAGGGGCTCAGTGCTCAGATTGTGATTTGAGCCACGGAGCGCCCTAACCGCCTCCGTGTAGTCTCTGACCTTAGCATGGACGCTCGGGTCAGAGTAAGCCTGGGCAGTGGCATCCGGGTTGAAGACGACACCGGATTTCACCGGGCCCATGTGGGACACAGCCCATGCCCCAAACTCCGACACTGGCATGTCCGGGTGTGCCACCTCCTGCGAGAAAGACGGCAAGATGATTAGAAATCAGGTAAAATTGAGCGTTAGAATAAATAAATGACATCTCGTACAAGTGCCCGCTTGAATGCGGGGAGGTTGCGGCTGCCTTGGTGGTGAGTTGGACCGGTCCTCAGTGCTCGCTTCCGCTTGCCTTGCTCGTGCTTTGCGATGTACGCCGGGTCAAGGTACCTGTCCACGATCCTCAACCATGCCGATCTATGCGACGTCACAACTTGCTCGAAACCTTCTCAATTTTTTTACCACGGCCTCCACATGCGATAACACGACGTCTCGACAAGTTTTCGTGATTTTCGGACTTCGTTTGCATTTTATATAATTTAAAATCACATTTCCGGCAAGTACCTCGACATGTTACGTCAACGAGATGCTCGAGATTTCATGTGAGTTCCCGGATACGGCCTAAACATACCCTAAATATCATGAGTATCAATTTTTGGATGACCAAAGTCCATTGTTCCATGTACCTGCAGTTCAAATTTGAAATATCCCGAAAAATTCGACGAAACGAAATAAACTAATGAAATATATAAAAAAAGTCAAAATTACCCCAAATTTTAAAATAGAGTTTGAAATACTGTCACAAGGCCCCAGAAAAAAATTTGGGCCCAAAATAAAAAAAAATTATTTTGTCGAGTGCCATGGGGGGCACTCGGCAAAGTGGGCTTTGCCGAGTGCCGGCCCAGGGGACACTCGGCAAAGTTGATTTTCAAAAAAAAAAAAAAATTGCCGAGTGCCTAGCGCTGGCACTCGGCAAAATAAGTTTTAAAAAATTAAAAAAAAAATTGCCGAGTGCCCAAGGCTTACACTCGGCAAAATATGTTTTTAAAACAATAAAAAAAAATTTGCCGAGTGCACAGGGGGCCGCACTTTCGCAAAATAAGTTTTTAAAATAAAAAAAAAATTTGCGAGTGCCACCAAGTTAGGCACTCAAAAAAATCTGACGGCAGCAGGTGGCAGCCACCACGGGCGGCCACCTTTTGCCGAGTGGGATCTTTGCCGGCACTCGGCAAAGCCCAGTTTTGCAGAGAGCCAGGCTTTACCGAGTGCCTGGCACTCGGCAAAGCCACCTTTGCCGAGTGCTTTATTTTGCCGAGTGTGGCACTCGGCAAAATATTGCTTTGCCGAGTGCTCCGATAAAAAGCACTCAGCAAAGTCTCAGGCACTCGGCAAAGTCCAGTTTTCCAGTGGTGCTGACATCATGTACGTCTAAGTACAAGATTTGCTGATTTTACTTGTCTAAGTAAAATATAGCTTCTCCCAATATATAAAATCAATTTAACTTAATTTTCTTTCCAAAAAAATGCCAAGTCCCATGAGACCTTCGATGGTCGTTACGTGGCCTAGGACCTAGCATTACATGATTTATACCGAAAAGTTAATCTCACGAGTCACAATCTGCACTACATAACACACAAAAATTCAGCTGGGGGTGCTACCTATCGCGCTTCCTTTTTCCAAGATATCTGTGAGATTGTGACCCCTTGTCATTTGCGCAGCCGCCACTCACTAATCATGGGCAATTAAAAGTCAAATACTAATGCACGGGGAGGATAAGCACTGGGGAAGAATGGCCCGTGACCTAATGCCATTAGCCCATTACTCACCGTGCAATGTCCCCGCAGCCGCAGAGTGCTGTATGCCATCCTGGCTGACGTACGAGTGGGATTTCCAGTGCAAACCAGTACACTTGTTGACTTTGTTGTTGACGAACTGACCGTATCCGACGTCACAAGTGAAGTGGAGCTCATAGAAACCCTTGTTAGATGGTCTGGTGGATGCATTTTAGGATCGGAACTGCGCGCATGTACTGAGAACACTTTTTCTTATCTTGCTGTATTTTCAAACCATGACTTATGAATCACAGAATGATCGAGGTTTAGTTTAGTTTTGCTATCTGTCATCAGTTATCAGCCTGCTGAAAGTTTCTTATGTACAAGTCAATTTGCTTGCTCAATGCGCTCCGATTGATGGTATCGTCGGACTTTCTCGGCATCATTTGTAAAAAAAAAATCTTTCTATTCATTGAAAGATAATTGACTTTATTTACCAATTTACCTATAGCGGTAATGGATTAGGATGGATTCACATCACAGTGGATGGCAACATGCAGCGGCGGCTTTTGCTATGGCACTGCACTAGCCATAATGGAGAAGCATGTTTTGTGAATCACACTTATGAACGCACGCATCTACAGTCTACCGAATAGACATGTTGCCTACCACTGAATCTATAAAGGTAATAGATGATGATTAAATCACGTAAGGGTGGATGGTAGCGGCGACGGCTTCTTTTGCTACGGCGTTGCACTAGCCATAATCAAGGACCAATCGGATGGTCACCTCGCCTACCATTGAAGCTATAGAGGTAATAGATGAGGATGGGTTCATAGGTGGATGGCGGCGGTGGCAGTTTTTGCTATGGCATTGCACTAGTCATAATCAAGACTATCTTTTGTGAATCAATCCTTATGAAGGTATACGCACTCTACTAGATATACATGTCGCCTACCACTAAGGAAAACACCGCTAAATCATGGAGCAAGTCTAGAAAAATACAAGGACATGTGCCAACTCAAGAACTTGAAACAGAGTAGTAGGTAGGTTTCAGTACGTGAAAACCCAACTAGCTAAGCTATGCTCAGTTCACATTGAGGATCTTTGTAGGTGGTGTTTTTTTTTTGAAAGTGTAAGGTGGTGGAATAGAGCCATCTAGGATACTCGTATTTATCAGTCATCACAAGATGCCATGTTTGTGTTATAGACACAAGTGATGATCGAACTAACAAGAATGGGGACATATAAATGTTAACATTAGGGTAGCCAATTAGTAGAAAGTTTGGAATGAGTAAAGGTGGCCAAATATGAATGATTTTGCTAACTTACATATTTATAATTAAGTGTCCAACTTAGGGACTAGTTTGTTGTTTGCGTACCTTAGTGTATATATGGATCGTATCAACTCAACCAAATCCGGTGCATGAAATGACATGTTGTTTGGTTGTTTGTATATATATTATTAGTTTGGCTGATATATAAGAGACGATGTTTGGTTGCCTGAGTTAAGATATGCAACCAAACATGAGACAAACATAATACAAGATCATCACCAAAATATTTATCTGGTGTAGGTACACTCCTGTAGCCCTTGGTTTATCTTATCAAGACTTGAAATCCTCTTTAAAATGCATTTAAATCACTTGATATGTAGGAACTGATCACGTTATAATAAAATCATTAGCTGGGCAAGTGCTTGCATCTAGCACACCTAGGTCCATACACCTAACCAATTAGCAGAAACTTGCATTCTATGGCCTTGTTAGGACATATACAACCAATCAATCACACTCTTAATGTACATGAAGGCTACATGAGACATAGCCCCTATGTTTGCATCTGGATACACAAACTCAAACGGCACCAAAATGGTCTAAGGGGAAAGGCACAAGCCATTCCGTAGAAGCAGAAGTATGATGTCATTCATGAGTCGTTGGTTAGTTGCTGAAGGTTATTCTCATGTGGGATTTCGGTAGTATTCAGGTGTCAATTGAGAGTGGCTTAGGGAGGGGAGGTTGTAGCAAAGTTAGTGTGGCGTGGCGGACGAGCACTCTGGAGACTTGGAGACGCGAGTTTAAAGAAAATTTTAGTCACCTTCTCAGGAGGTGCCACCCGTAGAATTTTCAGTACAGAGCGGTACTTGTTTACGGATGCGGATTGATCCAAAGTCACAAGTGGGTTTATGGAAATCTTTGTGTTGGTGAATGTTACAGCGTGATTGAAAAAAAATGTTATCTTCACCCACATTTTCCAACCACATCGTACGTGCATGCATGTAATTCCACAATGATATCAGGCACGTGATTAATTATATTACGACACCATGTAAACAAACAGTTAGTGGAACTGTAACAACAAGACACACATACATTCTACGTAAGCCATCTGTAGACTAGCATCGTGGATGCCTACTCAGACTACACACAGTGAGTGAGCTAGTGATGGATGGTGAATTGTGGAGCAGACCGTGCAGGCAGTCCACTACTGCACAGTTACCTTTGTGACAGTATAAATTGGTGCTCTGGCAAGTGTTGTAGAGCACACAAGCTAGCTAAGCAACTCGTTCGAGCACACACTTGATCACTAGCTAGCAAATAAACATTGCGATGGCTTCCCGTGCCTTTGCTACACTGCTTGCAGTGCTAGCATTTGTGGGCTTTGCTTCAGTTCCCCGTGGTCTGGCAACTGATCCGACCCAGCTCCAGGACTTCTGCGTTGCTGATAACAACAGCCCTGGTAAATACATTATTACTATGGATTGCTATATGTACGAGTAGTAGTTTGTTTAATGCAGTATATTTTCTAGACATGTATGTATGCATGCAAAGGCAAGTCATGTGTATGATCTGCGATGACTGTACTAACATGGGTGGACGCGTGCATGTAGTGCTGGTGAATGGGGTGGTGTGCAAGAACCCGAACGTGGTGAAGGCAAACGACTTCTTCTTCCACATAGTGCCGGCGGCACCAAACGGGCAGGGCTCCGGCGTGGCGCCGGTGGCGGTGGCCGAGATCCCGGGGCTGAACACGCTGGGCATCTCGCTGGCGCGCATCGACTTCGTCCCCGGCGGGCAGAACCCGCCGCACACGCACCCTCGCGGGTCGGAGATCCTGACGGTGATCCAGGGCACGCTCCTGGTGGGGTTCGTCACCTCCAACCAGCTGCTCAACAACACGCTCTTCACCAAGCAGCTGGTCGTGGGCGACGTGTTCGTCTTCCCGCAGGGGCTCATCCACTTCCAGCTCAACAACGGCCAGACCCCCGCCGTGGCCATCGCCGCGCTCAGCAGCCAGAACCCCGGCACCATCACCATCGCCAACGCCGTGTTCGGGGCCAAGCCGCCCATCCTGGACGACATCCTCGCCAGGGCCTTCATGCTCGAGAAGGCCACCGTCGACTGGGTCCAGCAGGCGTTCGGCGCGGCACCGGTGGCAGGAGGCGGCGGCGGCCTGCCCGGTGGCGGTGGCCTGCCGGGTGGCGGCGGCTATCCTGGCGGCGGTGGCTATCCGGGGTACCCCGGCCGTAGGCCGTAGCTGATCGGCACGACGGTGGCTCGACGGCGGCGCCTAGCATACATAGGACCTCAGGTCCTCAAACATGAAGCCACGTGAAGGTTATATACTTATACGTATGAATTCGGTTGTAACGGTCAGGTCAGGTCAGGTGTACCAAATACCCACACACACCTAGTGTCCTAGCTATATTGTGCACGCACAATGCGGCGTTTGTGTTGATCGAGCAGTAGCAGTAGCTCGATCGGGTTGAATAATTTGTGGCAAAACAGCACCAAGTGTACTGCAATCTTTCCAGTTCCTATATATGAAATAAAGTTGAAAGTTTCAGTGTTTGATCTAGTACTAGTAGTACTATTGCATTAGCCGCGCTTTTATGATGTACTCTGCTCCGTTCTACTCACTTTGGCTCTATCAGATCCCAAGTTAAACTTCATTTCTTCGGTTTTGTCAAGTTAAACTTCAATTTTGACCAAGTTCGTAGTAAGTTCGCCACGATCTAATCCCGGCGCAGCGGATGCTTTGCCGGCGCACACGACGCGCAACGAACCATTTCAGTGGCGCGGCCGGCCTGCGTGTCCATGGGCAGCGGAAGCAGTCTACACACGCGATCGTCGTAGACTTTGCATAAAGCAGGCGGCGTGCCATGCTGTCGACTCCGGCAGCGACATCACCTGTCTATTACTGATGCGTGCCACATGGCCATGCAGCAAAACTATGCCGGAGAATTCGCTGATTCGGCATTCAGTGAACGTTCGTGGGTTAAGTGGAACCACACACAATTCATCCATCTTTCCAGATAATTGGAGGGCTCCTATTTTCTCAACTCGCGGAAACTGGACGAACAAAAACCAATTTATTCCCTTCAATGGCCAAACAATTACATACTCCTATGTTTGTGCGGATGATCCACGTTGCAAAGTTCATACAATACGCAGCATTATTCCTGGTCCTGGAGTATGTTTAGCATGTCTAGACCTTTTTCAGTCTTCAGATATCTCGTAACTCCAGAGAGCATATAAGATTGCAGTAGCGAGCAGATGCGTTATGCCACTGTCACAAGGCAGATAATGAGTAATGCTACATTTGATTTTTGATGATCTCATTAGCAAGGTCCATGCTTTGGTGTCAGAGGTGAACACAGGCTCCCAATGTAAGCGGCAGAAACCAAGCTGTATCTGCCATTCTGCCTGCTCTGCAGGTGTCCCCTCATTGATGTGTGCTGCAATGAACGATATGCGTTCTTCCAAATTGCGATGCTATGATCTTGACAAAACACCTCGGCCGTCAGGCGAGGCGGAGCCTGCCCTCGGACGTCGGGCGAGGCGGAGCTAGCCCTCAGCCGTCAGGCGAGGCGGAGTCTTAGGCATTTGGGGTCGGGCGAGACGGAACCAATCTTCCGTTGTTCGGGCAAGAAGTGTAGTAGCATCCTTGTCTGGCCGGAAGCGTCAACGTTCGATGGTTATTAATTCCACCTCATTGGGTACCCCCGTATTAGGTCCCCGACAGTAGCCCCCGAGCCCTCGGGTGATTCGGATAGAATCGCCCGGGGGTATTTTGACTTGTCAGAGGGTGCGCGCGAGCGCACCCGACGGGTGTAGCCCCTGTCGGTGCGGGACCCACAGGATACCCCGCAAGGAAAGGAGAAGATCTAGTCTAACTAGTATTCTTCACATGTAATTTTAGTAGTAGTATTATCCTGTAATCCTAATAGGAACTCTCATTGTAAACCGACTAGAACTCTGGCCTCTTGACTATATAAAGGAGGGCGGGGTTCCTGAAGAGAACGAACACTTTACAATCAATCTAACGCAAAGGCTAACGCCGACTGGACGTAGGGCTATTACTCGATCACGGTCGAGGGCTCGAATTAGGATAAATCGATTGTCTCTTGCGTTAACCGTCGAGTTCCGCATACGCTGAAGTCTGAACTAACTGCCCCGGGTACCCCCGTGGCAGGCTATCGGTGGTGAAACATCGACAGCTAGCGCGCCAGGTAGGGGCTTTCGGCGAATTTGCATCCGAGAGCTCGACGGACCTCGACAACATAATCTTCTCAACGGGATCGACCTTCATCTTCGGTTCATGGATCTGTGAGGCAGGCGACAATGGCAAGCTACAAAGCCGTCTCCTCGAAGATTCGGATCACCATGAAGACCTTTCTATTTCGGCGACTACAACAGATCAACTCACCGAAAGATTCGCACAGCTCGTGATGTCCGATCCAACTCAGATTTCGCGGCATCCAATTCAAACTCGGGCTCTGCATCCGAGATGGAGTCTTATCCGAGTTCTTTCGAGAAACTGAGTTCTTTTCTGGTGGGATTCCAGAACGCGGCCTCGGTCTATCAAGAATACAACTCAGAGTACACTCAGAGTCTTTTCAAGAAGTCAGATCCTTTTCCGTTCGGACTCCAATACATGGAAAAATCTTATCAGGCACGGCTCAAAGGGTCCCTCGATCCGGTGCTCAGAATGCCACTGAAAGGAGCTCAAGAAGGTCTCGTACTAACTATAACATCTCAAGACTGCATCGTCCACTGGCCAGGATCTGTTCCTGAGGACAGCGGTACCCGACTAGTTGACACGACAACGACAGCAATCCTACCCTACCAAGAAGGAGACTCGATCTGCGACCTTGAAGCCTCTACTAAAGTTATCAACAACTCCGACAGTGTGGAAACCAACGCCGATAACAGAACAATTCACGCACGGGAAGTATTCATGGTTCTCCGTCCTCGATCACCATTGGTCCCCCCAGAAGCACCCGACATCAGGTCATCGGATGAATCTGAGTCCAACATATCACCCTTTATCCAGGGGCACGATGGTGAGGCCGAGAATCAGAAGCAAGCTAGAGAAAGAAGAAACAAATTGAAACAAGGATGCCAACGCCATGCTAGGCAGCTCAAGGAAGCTTGGATCAGATATGAGTCAGAACTGGCCGAGTACAATAGAAGAAAATCAGAACAAGAAGTCGAAGAAAGACGCGCGGCAAATACACCCTACAATATGATCCGAGAAGTACTAGAAGAACTCGAAGCAACATCACATCCCAGTGAAAAACAGGAACAGCTCTGGGATCTTCTTCGGTCAGCAGCCCTAAGGACGCACGACGGAAGGACCCGCTCAAGACTACCTGCCATGTCAACATCTCATAGAAAGGAAGATCAAAATCAAAGGAAGTCCGCTTTCGAGAGACTTGGACCAAGTGGAAGTCACAACAGAGAAAGTAGAAGGGACCACAGTCAAAACTACTGAGTCGAACAACCAAGAAAGATTAGAAGCGAAGCACCCGTTCAGACGGCCCCGTAGAACTACTCTCACCAAAACAACAGTTGGCTAGAAGGAGGTGCTAAATCAGAATACAAAGAAGCCAGAACGCATGATAGATTCCCCTGTTTTGCAAACAGACTTGCTTCAAAACGACTACCTCACAAGTTCATGCCGTCCAACCACTCTAAATATGATGGCAAGACCGAACCAAGACAGTGTCTTAGGATTTACTCGCAATCAATTGAACTAGCCGGAGGAGACGACGATATCAAGACCCTGTTCCTTCCCATGGCCCTAGAAACCATGCCCCTCCAATGGTTCGACAAATTGAATCCAGGATCAATCAGAAATTAGGAGGACTTGCAAAGAGTTTTTTTGTGAAAATTTCGCGGGTATCATTACGCACCCCATCACCCACGCAGAATTAAAAGGACTCAAGCAGAAAGGCGATGAAAGTCTCAGAAATTACTATCGACGATATGGCGAACTACGTGCTCAAGTACATGACATCACCGAACGAGAAGTAATCTAAGCTTTCTCTCACGGAATCATGGCTAGGTGGCAATTTCATGACTTCTACAAAGAAAACCCGAGAAACAATGAAGAATTCAGACGTACAGTAGAAAAGATGATTACTGTAGAGGAGAAGACACGAGAAAGGTTCCCGGATAGAAACAACCGAGACAACCCGGACAAGCAAAATCATCGAAACATCAGACATCAGGAAAGGAAACGTGGATCATACAACACTGTAGCGGTGGCTGACAAATCAAGGAAGTTTTCCAAACCCAGAAGATATGACGACATCGAAAACATGCAGTGCATCTGGCACCCTAAAGGAAATCACACTATCGGAATTTGCTTCACCTTCAATGATCACTACATAAGAAAAGATAGTAAGGGAAACACAAATGAAGACAATGAGAAAAAAGATGAAGACAACCACGGAGACAAGGGATTCCAAAAATCCAGGGGGATAGTAGCAGTGATCTTCGCCGGGGCCCTAGATTCCAGAAGCAAACATCAAGAAAAGCTAGCTCTACGAACCATCATGGCAGCAGAACCGGCTACTCCAAGATATCTCAATTGGTCACAGTATCCAATCCAGTTCTCAAGAGAAGACCAATGGACTAGCGTAGGAAACGCAGGCCATTGCCCACTGGTTCTAGATCCAACTATCGCCGGTATGACTGTCACAAAAGTACTAATTGATGGAGGAGCCGGACTCAACATCATTTTTTTAAAAACGCTAAGGAAGATAGGACTACAACTCGCCGGGATGATTACACCAACGAGCACCCCTTTTTATGGGATAGTACCCGGCAAGGCAGCCATGCCACTCAGACAAATCACTCTACCGGTTACTTTTGAAACTCCCTCAAATTACTATACAGAGTTCATCAAGTTTGAAGTTGCAGACTTCGATTCAGCATATCACGCAATCCTCGGGCGCCCAGCACTTGCAAAATTCATGGCGATACCGCATTACCCGTACCTACTGCTTAAGATGCCAGGGCCTAACGGTGTCCTTTCCCGTCGAGGTGATTTGAAGCGCACTTTTGACTGCGACGTTCAGGCAATCCAAATTACAGCCAAAGCACAAGCCGCCAATGGTAGAAAAGAAATATCCACTATTGCCGTAGAAAAAAGCCCAGAAGAACTAGAGATATCGGCTAAAAAGCCCAGAATCCTCGCACCACCAAAAGAAGCCGACGTCAAGCAAATCGACCTAGGCACCGGTGATC